GCAGCGGCTAAGCTTTGCAAAGCAACAAAAACTATGAAACGAAAGCTTAAAGGTAAAAATGTTGCTCTGCACGTTCCGCTAACTGATACACGCACAGGCACATACACATATGTACATATACAAGCACACAAGTAAAAGCCGTCACAAATGTGTCAGCACTTGAGTATTAAGTTGCTCAAGTGCCCCCAGAAGTGAGTGTTAGAGCCAATAAATAATTGAATAAATGAGTAAAAGTGCTCATACGGTTTGTTAGCTGCTTAAGTATAGAGCTAGAGTGTTAGTACAGACGTTCAAAAGAAGCAAAGAAAAAAGCAATTCCCACACGTTCTCACAATAATTCTCAGCTTACATGAATCGTACGAAGTTGAAGACAGCCACACTTGCTTCAATGAATTTGAATGATGTAAGCATGCGTGTATATACATACATACATACTACATATGTATGTGCAGCTATTGCCTCCGTGAGGTTTGAGTAAATGAGAAATTCGAAAAGTAGCAAATTGCCAGGTTTAGACACACAAATAAATCRTTAAGCGTGAATACACTTAAAGCTGTTTAAGTATCATAAATATGCAATATATAGTTAGGTATTAAGACAAACTTGTTAGTGTTTATGTTTCATATATTTTTGCTTGAAATATTGCATTTTCATTTACTTAGTATGTAAGTTAGGTATTTTTGCCATATTATAACTTAATTTACGTTTTTTTATACAAATATGTATTTTATTATGATATACGGTAGTTTTTGTTATTAAAAATATTGTGTTGTATTATTATTATAATGATATGTTATATTTTCTTTGACATTTAACTTCAACCAATTAAAGGCATTGTGACCAATTACTTGAAGAGTCAACCAATTTTAGTATTTCATCCGAAAAGAGCCGATTTGAGTGCGCCTGTAGGAGAGAGAATGAGTTTTTTTCAAGCCAATTTGATTTGGTTAATTAAATTCAAAGATAAATAAGTTAATATACAATCAATCACAATTACCAATATTAATAAAGATATTTAATTTATGATTTTTATTCAATGACAAGTAGTTTTACACAAAAAGAGTGATTTTCTATATAAAAAGCAAAAATAATTACTTTAAAAAATATAAAGAGCTTCACAAAAAATTTCCATTTGAATATAATTCTTTTTCTACTTTATTTCGATTTGAGTAAACCTGAAAGTGAGAATTTTTCATGCTATGTAATTGGCCAGAAATTTTACTATTCAATATTACTAAAGATGATTAATTTAAAACATGTAAAAATTTTATTATAAAATCATGCAGTATTTTCAAGTTATAAAAATATGCCTATAAAATATATTTGGGTCCTAATAAATATATCTACAACTGATTTATCATCTCGTATACGTTTAAGCGCAAGTATTAATTATGTTATATAACAGCGGTTAAGCAGAAAATTTTGCACATAAATTCATCCAAGTGCTTTTAATTAAAGTACTTTACGTGTTATATACATTTAAATATACTGTGGCAGCACTTGTTAAACATGGATAGCAGTTATGAAGCATACCTTCAGGCATACAAATTATGATGTTTGATTATCAAATAACAGATTATAGTTGAAGTATACATTTAGGCAGGCTTGTGCCACGTTTACACGCACGCTTGTGCGAATCAGCGTATAAACTTGTATAGTGCTATACAATGCCTAAAGCTAAATCTCATACATACCTGCTGATTTACATACTGAGTATTTTGCCATATTGTATGTAGAGAGAATAAATGTACATATACCATACGGTTTATATTAATTATATTTACTGTGCCTAAATTGTAAACAAAAGAGAGTTGTTGGTAAACAAAACTCAAGTAATTTAATATGGATTACAACTTTTTTTTTTCAAATATACAAACATGCATAAGATTTTTGCCGAATGCTTCAAAATTGTTTAACAGATTGAACCCAATTTGTAGCATACTATTTATGACTGCTTACCTGGGCTTGTTGGCTACCATTCAAGCCATACTTTAGCATATCTCTAGAAATGTTTTGGAAAACTTTCTTGAACCTTCTTTATGTTGTAGTTGGATAAGTCGTTTTTGGCAGAACATTTAAAGCTGCAAAAAGCATGTCAAAATTATGTTTTGCGAAGTCGGGAAGAATATGATTGGAGTCTCACTAATAACAATCTAATCTGATAGATTGAGAAGACTGCAAGAAATTCCAAGATCAAGAAAACAATAGAGCATCTCTTATGCTCCTCCTCTGCAATGACAGGACAATGCTTTAAGCATTTGTATAATGGAAGAGCTCACAGAACCTGTTGAAATTCACGTTAAGCTCTGGCATACTGAACGATGATTACTTCCCAAGGACCACGTTACGGCACTACATCGAAAATCGCTAACGATCAAAACTGTTTTATGTGTGACTCATTAGTCCATCAATCTAACCTAACCTGAGCTATGAGCTAAAAATTCAAAAATCGTATTCTAATTGTTGTTCCCACAAAACCACATAGCCTAACCCAATTATTACATAAATATTTTTTATAAGCAAAAAAAAAACCGAAAACGCCCTTAATCTGTTGTATTGATCATTACGGGCGCGACACACACCTGTTGTGACACATATCCAGCACTATTATAAACAAACTGCCATATAGATAATTTATTGTAATTATTTAACAACTTTAATCTATGCATGACATTGAAATCTATAATTCTCAGCATAATGCAAAGCACCCAAGAATAGAGAAAAGTGAATCATTTCAATTTTTATTACAACTTCGTGATTTAGCAATAATTATAGAAAATTAGCGAATTGCGTCTATTCAATTTGTCACAAGCTGCACCTATGAGCCCCCGCTGTGACATAAACCCTTTATTAAACCGATTTACTAAAGACCTGACTAATACTTTGCATAATATGTCGTTTCCGTTTCGTTGACTGTGATATGTCGCGTTATGAGACCTTAGTACTTTAATAAAATAAATTCAAATTAAATTATCAACTGCAGACACATACAGGCACATACTTATGTGAATATGGAATTATATTATTCTCTAGTTTTTTTTTTTTTTACAATTTTAAGTTGCTCAATTATTCCGGTGACATATGTTGAGTTAAGTGCATAATCGCCTGTCAAATCACTAAAGCTTCAAAATATGAGAAAATGAAATTGAATGCCAAGATTGTAAAGTAATATGAAGCTACTTGGAGGAGAAAATTGGAACAGCACAGCATAAATTTATAGGGTTCCTGATATTTTGGTTTGCCAGAAAATATTTTTGGAAAAGGTTTAAAATGAAATAGTATAGTATATTGCAACCTTTCCAAGCGATATCGATTCGCTCTATGGACTCTTGAAGAGTTCCAAGAAAATCTGAGATTTTCGAGTCAAATTTTGTTCAGCGATGAACCCTATTTCTGACTCAATGTGCATATAAACAAGCCTAATGCTGCATTTGGGATGAAGAGTAGCCTGAAAGGATTCAAGAGCTTCAATTTCATCCAGAGAAAACAAATTGTTGGTGTTGTTTGTGGGTTGGTAAAATCATCGGTCCATATTTCCTCAAAATGCCTTTCAGACCTTGGAGCAAAACATCACATGTAACATCCGCCGGTTAACAGTCGAAATACTCGAACGAGTCATCGAAAATTGGACTCAACGAATTGACTATCTCAGATGTAGCCGCGTCCAACCTTTGAAAAAAATAATCTTAAATAAATATATGCCGAAGAACATTTTTTTGGAATGAGGTAAACATTCCCCATTAAAATGTGAAGAGTGCGTGTTTTTTTTTTTTTTTTTTTTTTAAACAGTGGGGAACCTCGACATGGATTACTCTGTATATACAAACTGAAGTCAAGTTATCGATTATTAGCGATAAAAATGACGCTCCAAACATCGAGAAATAGATATCCGATTGTGTTTTAAATATTTTTGGTTCTTATCATCGACAAAAAATTGAATAGCTTGCAAAAATTTTAGAAAAATATCAGAATTTAAGAACATATAGAAAGTAAAGAAGATACTAGATTTTTTCTAGAAAATCCCGGATTAGAAAAATATCAAAATTATTAAAAAAAATATATTGAATATCCCAAAACAATTCATAAAAATACTGAAATGATATACAGCATATACAGAATATCACAGTTAAAAAAATCTCGAAATTACTGCAAAATATTTGGATATTATTCTTCTATATTAGGTAATGGAGCTTACCTATTTATATTTTAATTTTTATGATCGAAACAGTTTCGTCGATTATACAAAACCATAGAACGTATATTTTATTACAAAAATTAACACAGCTGGCAACCTTGCCCAAAAAAGTTTCATTAGTAACTCTAATTAAGATTATTTACTTTAATCAGGATATTTCATTTTATTTATAAATTTTCGATTTATTTTGAAAAAGTGGCAACCTTTCAAAAAATTATTTCTCTGATATCCATATTATTTTTTGTATTAATTAATGGTTTAAAAAGTGGCAATCTTGCTCACAAAAGTTTCAGTTGCTACTAAATTTTTTTTTTTTTTTTACTTTAATAAGGGCAATTAATTTTCTTTCTAAATTGTTTTGATTTTCTTAAGTGGAAACAATTAATTAAAAAAATTTGAAAAGGTGGCACCCCTTTAAAAAAAATATTACCAATTGCATGCTTGTTAAAACCTCTTCTCTTTGGTGCCTTTTTCCTTAGAGTGTTTCTATATTATAGATTTTTTGTGTAAATATTTTGAACAGGTGGCATCCCTCCAGCTTTTTATTGTTTTAATCAGTTCAGTCTACGGCAGTAAAGAAGAAGAAGGAGTTCAAAAAGATAAAATATATGTTAAAGCTGCATAAAATACGATTAACTGAAACACTTCTTCGATACTTATACCTTACCTTGGTTGGGGAATAGAAAACAAAGGATTAGTTACACATAACTGTACATATACGTAAATGATTTTCTAAAATAATTTTAGTTTAATAGAAAATAAAACAATACTTCCACAAACAATAAAATATATACACACATGCATATTTACAAGCGAGAAGTAAGTTTATTATCGCATTTCGAGAGCATTACTAAGCCAACAACAGCAATAAAGCAAAACACATAGAAAACATTAAAAAACAAAAACAGAATTCAAATCATGACACACACACACACACAGTCCACATCAATCGTAGCCACGATAAGTGCCATAACCGCCACGCCCACCATAAGGGCGATCGTTATAGCCGCCATCATAGCGTGGCAAGCCATAGCGATCGGTATTGGCATAATAACCGTAACCACGATTGCGCTGACCAGTGTATTGTGGGTTATAATAGCCATAGTACTCAGGCAGACCGCCATTACCTCCATAGCCGCCATAACCGCCATTTCCGCCTAAAATATTGGTGCCCGTGCTGGGGTAGTAGCCACCCGTGCCAGTGGTGCTGCCATAATTATAGCCATAGCCTCCAGCGCTGGGGTAATAGCCACCATTAGAGGCGTAGTTGGGGTAATTGCTGCCACTCCAGCCGCCGTTGCTTGGATAATAATTCCTCGGGTAGTAGTTGCTGGGGTATGTGCTGGTGGTGGGGTAATAGTTGTTCCTGTAAGGATAATATGTTGACGGTCCATTGGCGCTGGGGTAGTAGTTGTTGCCATAACCATAGCCATATCCATTACCGTAACCGTAGCCGGGACTCTGACCAAATAAACTGCCCAAGTTGAACACTAATTGGTAAACAACAACAAATAAACAAAAATGAAATTATATAATGAGTTTACTTATTTTTTTAATATCCTTGTCAAATTAAATAAGTTTAAACTTAAATAATGGCTGTGAAAACAAATGTCTGTTGATTTGTCCAATTGGTCTTTTTCAGTTTTATTTCGCGTAAAATACAGTTATTGTACTGTTTTTTTTTTTACCCTGAACAGGGTATATTAATTTTGTCACGAAGTTTGTAACACCCAGAAGAAAGTGTCGGAGACCCTATAAAGTATATATATAAATGATCAGTATGTTGAGCTGATTCGATTTAGCCATGTCCGTCTGTCTGTCCGTCTGTCCGCCTGTCTGTATGTATACGAACTAGTCCCTCAGTTTTTAAGATATCGTTTTGAAATTTTGCAAACACCATTTTCTCTTCAAGRAGCTACTCATTTGTCGGAACTGCCGATATCGGACCACTATAACATATAGCTGCCATATAGACTGAACGATCGGAATCAAGTTCTTGTATGGAAAACTTTCACATTTGACAATGTATCTTCACTAAAGTTGGCACAAGTTATTTTCTGTGGCAACAATATAATCTCCGCAGAAATTGTTTAGATCGGTTAACATACATACAAACTGAACGATCGGAATCAAATGCTTGCATGAGAAACTTCCTCATTTGACGATATACCTTCACGAAATTTGGTAAGAGTTATTTTTCATAAAAATAATGTAATATCGGAAGAAATTATTCAGATCGGTTAACTATAACATATAGCTGCCATATAAACTGAACAATCGGAATCAAGTTCATGTATGGAAAACTTTCACATTTGACGTGGTATCTTCACGAAATTTGATTTGGATTACTGCTTAAGGTAATAATATAATCTCCGAAAAAAATTTTCACAACGGATTACTATAGCATATAGCTTCCATACAAACTGAACACATAATTACTAACAGAAATGCACCTGTGAAGGGTATTTAGCTTCGGTGCAACTGAAGTTAACGTTTTTTTTTGTTTTTTTTTTTTTTTTTTTTTTTTGTAGAAGTTCTATAACAATAAAAGAGACAGTCTATGTTTTTTTACGAAAAAATTTACAGATTTATTCAGATTTACCTGAAAGAACCTACATATACATATAAAAGCTATAGGTTAAAACGTCTTATATGCATATGTTGTCGAAAAAGACTTTTCGCATTTTGTCAATAGATATATCTGTATGTTAAGTTTACTTCTTTATACCATCCCAGAAAAGTTTGTTATGCAAAGTTCAAAGCGATCAGAAGCCTCCACAAAGATAAATTACAAACTAGTGGCATTGTAACACTATGGGCAAAAAAATAGGAAGACTTTTTAATGTTCGCGCGAAAACCCATTCGTCGAAATATATTTTTTCTAGGTTGGTATGACATCAAAACAATCATTAGTCTCTCTGACGTATCTAAAGTGCATTCGGCAATATTTGCGATGAGTTAAGTTAAGTTAAAAGAATTCTATTAAATTTTGCGTGCGGAATCAAATCTTTGATGCCGAAACTTTCAGAATGGAAAAGGTCTCCGTCCAAATGTTTTTAATTGATAGAAATTATTCAAAGGGTCGGAGATGAGTGGACGACGAACCATGTCACCAGCAACTGATGATCAACACGACACTAAAATAAAGGACTTGGTACTTGAGAATCGACGATTAACAGGCATCTTACTGGTAGCGTTGGAATATCGGAGGTATCAATGAAAAAGAATTTGAAACATAATTTGAGTCTCAGAATCAATCATCACAATTATGTTGACAATTTTATTCGAGTATGGAGGTGTGATGCACTCCGAATTCTTTCCGTGTGTCCAAACCTATCAACAAGGAATAATATTTGAGTGTTATGCGTCGTTTGCGTGAAGCTGTTTGAAAAAGAGGTCAGAATTTTGGCCAGACAAATCTTGTTTTTTTTTCGCCACGATAATGCACCGTTGTTGATACTACAATGATTTTTTGTGAGCTTTTTGCAAATTTTCCAACAGTATAGTGCCGCAATCACCATATTCGTCTGATTTAACTCCGTGTTACTTCTGGCTATGCAGCAAACTCAAACGTTCTCTACGGGGCAACCGTTTTGAGTCAATTGAAGAGATTAAGCCGGAGTCGCTACAAGATCGGAAAAAACGTTGGTATACGCGTATTGGAGTCAAGTGGTATGACTTGCATGTGGACGACACAGATTTTTAAAAATATGTATGTCAAGAATTTTAAAATTGTGAACAAAGCCTTACTATGTTCATGGTAGTGTACTGAATATTGCAGGCTCAAAACGCACCTGTTCACCATGAGTATAGCCTCTTGTATAACCAGAAATTTAAGAACACCTGATTCTGAACTGATATTGAAATAAGCACCACAGCGCCACAATAGAGTCAAGCAGGATCGTGGAATTTATCAGAGTGCTTAGCCACTGTTAGTCCGTGTGAAACAGTTCTTAGATCGCTCTTCAATCTAAGCTTACTTAAAATTATATGCACAACTTTCACAAATAGTTAATACGGATACTTAGACAAAAATACAACAAATACAACTAAGCCCATACGAAGCTTATTTTGTTTTGCATTGTTATCAAAGTCACAGACATAGGCTTCCAAAGACAAAATTCTATTAGATGTTTGTTGCAAGGCAATTAAATTAAAGCTGCTAATTCTATTAGTGGCGAACGTCTTAATATTATCTGCGAAACAGCTGTCAGATACTGCGGAATGGTACTCAACAGACGCTGTTACAGCAGTTGGCAATATACCGGTTAATTTATCAAAATAATTAACCACAATTTTCCAATTAATTTATTCCAGATGCGTAGCCAAGCCAATTCTATTTTTTTCCAATTACGTATTGATAATTGAACGACAATTAATCTTAAGATTTGAGAAATTTTAGATGAACGTAACACCTCAGTCTGAAATGTCAATGCTGTGTTATAATTTGACAAAAGTTTGATAACACAATGGAGTTTTTATTACATGGAACTGAGTGTACCGAATGAATAGACTTATAGAACTCTTTTGCCCCTTCGGTTGGAACCTCTAATTGGCGCCACATTGCGAAAAGAAAAAAACGACTGGCGCGCTGATGTTAACTCGGCCAGTAAAGAAGCAGAAGAACAGCGCCAGCAAAACGCTCCGACTTGACAATTATTTGCTTTATCCTCCCAAGAATTATGTAGATAATCGTTTTAGTAGCAAAACAGTTTCACCAAAATGTGGAATCATTTCACTTAGAAATAAATATTTTACAAGTTCTTGCACATTTACCTCATTATACCCAACTGGTGTTTTATATACTCTTATATATGTATATACAAATAAATACTCAACTCTCGAGCTGAGCAACTGAATTGCAAGTAAACAACTTAAAGAGCGATCCTTGCCCTCAAATATTTGCCGAACTTCGTAAAATTGTTCAAATACTCTTACAAGTGAAATAGTTTCACAATTGTGTCTGCAAATAATACTTACACAGTAATATAGGTATACATATAAACTTAAGTATATCCATTAGGACACTTCTACTTACATTTCGCTGAAGTGCCCGAAGTGGTTAGATCTTGTTGAACTGCTGCATTCGTGCTTTCAGCATTTGTACTTTCCTCCGCTGAAAGTCCCGCCAGGACACCCACGCATAGCTACAAAATGGTACAAAAAGAACGACGAATAACATTTGAGTGCTGAATGACTACTTGGCGCAAATACTTGAAAACCATTCGATATACAGAGAATAATATTACAAGAAGATAAAAAACTGACCAACGCAACTGCCAACTTAACGCTCGAACACATTTCGCCAAACACTATGTAAGTATGTGGTTTAAACTGCTGTTTGCCGCTTTTAGATGTTTTACAAACTTTTCCGCCCACAAAAAGTCAACGCACACACACACAGCCGCACAAGCGTTACGTTCAACCAACCGTTGTTGAATGAATACACCAAAAACACTTTCGTTTTCAACAGTTGAATTAGAATTACAGCAGCAAAAAGCACTTAGAACAACAACGTTTTTTACGACACACGTTGAACAATGGAAATATTCGCAGGTCTCTGCAGTTAATACAGACAATTCAAGTTCACAGTTTACAACGTCTACTATATATATATATATATATATATGCACGAGCGAGACTCGATGAGCTAAGCGTACCGCGAGCTTTGAAGTTGAAGTGTTTTTGATTGTTTTTCCCAGCGTTCAGGTCAATTTATATCTTTTCATTTTCCACCTGAGCTACTCTGACTTAGCTAAAAAACATTTATACACATACACAACTTGCGAGTAACTCTTAAATGACAAAGTCGACGGCCACCACCCTCAAAGGCGCTACCTTTTCGGTAAAGAGTAACATGTGCTTATACTTGCATGTCCGTCCACAAGCGGTGCGAACTCATCAAACTGAGCGCCCAGATGTTTAGCTAGTAAATAAGCGAGTCTCCAATTGCTGTTGAAATTAGTCAATTATTCAGTCAACACACATACACTTTTGATGAGTCAAATCTGCAATATTAGCTTGCTCTCTGTAAACAACACTTCCCTTTCAGAACAAAAGTTATAAAATACTAAAATATAAGCATACAAATTTACTTAAAGAAAATATTAACACTTAACTTATTAATACGTTAGCCAGCAAAGATAGTGCAGTGTTGGATTAGGTGTGTGACCAGAGTGCTGAATCTGGTTCCATGAAGTTTAGGATATCTATTGATCATTACTCGTATTTGTCTCAGTCAGTATTTACATTTTAATAATTAAAACCAGAAAAATATAAAGATAATACCCTTCACGGGTGCATATTATCAACTAAAAAATTATTCCATATAAGGACATGTTCAATTGGTATGGCAGCATTATGTTCTACTGGTTTTGACAAATAAGTAGTTTCTTGGAGAGAAAGCGAAGTGTGAATATCAGATCGATATCTTAAAAGCTGAGAGACTACTCATGGTATATACTTGTATACGAAAATAAAGGTAAACACAAGCAGTCATGCGAAATCTGTCTGTCATGCTGATCGTATATGTATATGATATGATTTATAAGATCTCGGACGTTTACACCTTTCTATTACAAACATCTTGGCAAACTTAATATACCCAACTCAAGATAGACAAAGCTTCGCGGTGCTTTCAATGTGTCATATACGAGTACAATGTGCTTTAGCATATCATAAATTAGCATGTTGTGAGAGATGCCAAAGAAGAAGAGATTCTATGCTAACTTGTACGGCTGCATCAAATAGTTATTAAAGCCAAGAAAAGAGTCAGCAGCTTTCTAATTTGGGATATAGAAAATGGGTGCTGAAAATTTTAAGCGACTTCTTTTTCGAAAGAGATGATTCCTGGGCTCTATTAAAAAAAATTCCAGATCCTGTTCTTAAACAAACAATTTGTTAAGCTCTATTCTGTCGCCAGAATTATGAGATTTATTCAAAGCATCCCAAAATCCATCACCTCAGTGGAACTTCAAAAATAATTCCTCGATTTACGAGGACTTAGTCAAGGCTTTTCCAAAAATTTAAGAGATTTAAACTATAAATCTTGAAGTGTTAGTGAAAAATTTTCTCGTTAGAAAAGTGAAATAGTTTTGTAATAAAAAATTTGTCTTCACAAATTTACATAGGAAAGGAAACCGCTACATTTACATATACATATTTATGGTGGTTCACAAAGTAATGTCTTCTCAAATACCTAAAAGGATATAATAATATAAGAGCTGTATTTTCAATATATTAGAAAGACAGCAAAAACAAAGGAATTTTATTTAGTAAATACATGAATCAAATACATTGTTTTTTTTCTGAATGAAACTGCAGCTCTTGAATTTCCTCATGTTGCTCTTTGTCCCAACTGTGGTAATCTTGTTTATTTGCATACCGATTGAGCCGAAAATGGCTTTCATCGCTGAACAAAATTTGGCTCGAAAACTTTTTGAAACTTTACAAGAGCCCATAGAGCGAAGCGAGGGCGCTTGGGAAGGTCGAGTACGCTTTTAACGATTTGTAAACGTTGTTCAAGCTTAAGTCTTTCCATGATGAAATATAAAACAAAATTGACTATTGCTATTGGCTATGGCTATGGCTATTGAAAAAACATACTTTAATCTCCCGTTATAAGGCAGGATGGTAGTGCCATATCGGTTTTTTCTAACAGCACTGAATCTCTCATTGTCGACATGGTATATGATTTATGATTTATTTTTAAAATATACCGCACGGACCACCCTTTATGACCAAGTTTAAAGTTGTATATAAGCAAACGTTATTATAAATTGTCAACAACTAAGTTAAATACTACGAAAATCAATACCGCAAAGTATCAAAGTGTCAAAATTAAATAAAAAATTTCTTGAAAAATGCCGATAAGCTCGTTTCAACACTTGGTCGCCGACGAAATTTTAAGACCCTCATGCACTTGTTGCTGTACATCGAATTGTCCATATGTACCTGCATATGTCAATACCAATATATGAGTTTCAGCGAATATTTACCGAAAACACGCACACTTATTTACTTTTTCTGTCGATTGGCCCCCAAACATTGCCGGCGTTTCCATTTGTCTGTATTCTTATTTATGTAGCAAATATTTACAGGCTTACTTTTGTTTAATCGATCGATTTCTTTGTTATTTTCAACGTTGAAATTTCATCTATATTACTTTTTTGTGCTGTTGTTGCTGTTTTTTCTTTGTGCAATTTGTTTGTTTACCTTGCTAGTTGATTGCTATTTACAGGCCCTTGGAAAGCGTAGAACTCATTCATAAAAATACCGAATTTACTACCCAACTTCCCAGCCAATTTGCCAATATACACGCTCCATTACAAATCACACATACATACATATGTACAGACATTAATATTTAGGTATATTGCTACACTTGCAGGGTGTGGCAATGTGCAATGAGTTGAGGTGTGAAATGTGGTTTTGCGACTAAGATAATTAATTTGTTTTTCGGCTTTTGCAATTTCCTTTGACACCTCAAAAATGCGTGTGCATTTTTTGGTCTGGTGAATCGATGCAATTCAACGTGGGTAATTGTTAAATATTTAGAAATATTTGTATGACTAACATACGTCCATATACATAAATGGCCTATTTTCTGAGAGCGGTTTGCAAAGGAATGCAAATCAAGTAAAATTTTTATGATGATACGACGCAAACCTTACCACTAAAAGTTTTCTGTTATAGTGGATATTTGACTTCATTTTATAGCGGTACTTTTTCCGGTTTAGAAATTTTTTATTTAAAAATAAGTTAATGACATGTTATTATTCAAAAATTAAAAAAATTAAAAACAAAACACATTCAGCCATAAATAAATCAATTGAAAAATAGTGCGCTTTGCCAAACGAGCTCGAAATGTAAGAGACTGACATGCGATGAAAAAATTGTATTTTTTATTTTTAAACTCTCGCAACAAAGTTGCTAARGAGAGTATTATAGTTTTGTTCACATAACGGTTGTTTGTAAGTCCTAAAACTAAAAGAGTCAGATATA